ACTATGCTCACTCATAAATTATATCCATTTCATACTAGAAATTTACTTTTTTTCATGAAATTAAAAACAAGTATTATTTGTTATTAATGTGCTATTTAAGACTGAAAAAACCTATATTAGTTGTTAAATATTTATTATTGTTAAAATAAACATTTGTTACCTATCATTGTCTATCTAATGCCATGTATTTTTGTTAGTTAGCATCGACATCTTTTCCCCTGCAGGTGGCGTTGTTTCAAATTGCTGCACGAAGCCGACGAAGCGAATAGCTAACACAGCTTGTGTTTTGCTTACTGTTCGGTATTTATTTCTCCTTTCAATTTCTCCAAGCCATTCAAGGTAAATGTAAGGACAAGGTATAGAGGTATCATAAACCACTACCGGAGCTACCGCAAGTACACTTGCAGTATTTTAATTTACAAAACCACGAAATTCGAATACTGACAACTATAAGATTAAAACGCAAGTAAGAGGTATAACGTTAAACTAATAAAATACGACAGTAATAACTAACACAAATAATTACTGAACACAGTTATTGCCATCTTTTTGTGTTCGTACTTCTTATTTATTACAAAATATTCAGAACGTTCAAATTTTGCGCTTCTGGGGTCGCTCAGAGCGCTCCGAACACCTTGTATATTGGAACAAATCTATACGGTATGCCGGTAATGGCGGGAGATAAGTGCTTAAGGGGGGACACTTAATTTTAATGGTACTTTACCAAAAACATTTTTTTTTTATATCTGTATATAGGCGTATTGTATATGAAAAGACGCCTTTCTATTAATATTTTAATGGAGCTATGTGACTGTTTCGCGGTTTGAAATACATCATATAAATATAACGCCCGCATTTACTCAACTTTAAATTGGCTTGCGAACAAATCCCACGATAAGTAATTGATGGAATATGGAAACCGTTAAGTCTTATGATTACTAACTTAATAGGTTCGTTCAAACCCTCTTTTGGTTCGGTCTGGTCGATTCTGGAACCAAAAAAAACGTGCGTTCACGAGTTTGGTTCCAGAACCAAAAGTTTGAGTCGGTCGGATCTAGAACCAAACTCTCGTGAACGCATGTTTTTTAGTCCCAGAACCGATCAGATCGAACCGAACCAAAGGGGGGTTTGAACGAACCTAATAGTACAGGTAGTTATAATCAAGTTTATGCTAACTACTTATTGAATACCAAGATAAAGTTGTTTTATCAATGGTTATGGATTCTGCTCGTTATATTTTATGTTTAATACGTTGTAGTGCATAACTTTTTTATCTACTACATCAGGATTTGAACAAACCAGCTTTTAGATTTGTTCGAGGTTTAGCTTGGAGCAGCTCGGAGCGCTCCAAGCTTAATCCCGAACAAATCTTTTGTCTGGTCGACAGTCAGATACTACCTTTGAGACTAACTCAGTTGGTCCAGATCCTTACATTTAAGTAGCTGAAAAAGTTACACTCTATATTTCTATATAATCTACATATACCACTCCCCAGGAAAGAGAAGTTCTTGATTTTTTTTACTTTACTCCGCGTGAAAAACCACATCACTATAAAATCAACTTGAATTATCTGTCAACTCAAAAATCACTATTTTTATGCAAGACCCTTGTTTCGACATTTACGAGACAAAAGATATACAGTCGATAGCCAAAATGGGACGTAAAATTAATGTGAAGCACTCGCATGATATATCGTTGTAAAAACTAACCTTGCCGTTGACCGTCGTGCCGTTCACGAAGAGAATAACTCTCTTCATTTTGCACCGTGGTAATCCAAAAAATCAGCATTTGAGTACCTCCTTGACGACGGCAATGCGGCACGAAAAGGTGTAAGGCCAAAGAGAAAACACGTGGCGCGATAAATATCCTCAAGTCTTCACCGGTTGATTCACGTGTTGGTCTGGTTGTAGACGAAAAAAGCCAAATGTAGAACGTCAGTTCCACAAATTCGACTAATTTCATAGGAAAACTTTGGATGGCATAACGTAACTAACGGCCGAGGCCGTTGAGTTGCTGCCATTTGCACTCTATAAGCGTCGCAACCAAAAAGAACGCAATCGACTTTTGCAAGAAACGAACCTCCACATCTCATCCGCGTGTATCGTAAAGTATAGCCGTGTGAACCGCGCGTTTATTACGGCTGGCGCGGCGAACTGCGCCACCCTTGGATGGGTCTGGAATGGAACAACGGACCAACGGTCCCAACGGACAAAAAATGTACAGGAATATGAAAATTATTTTTTTATTTTTTCATGACATTTATTTATTATTTAAAAGGCTTATGTCAAATAATTATGTCATACTGAAAGGAATACTTATTTAAATATCTGTTATCATTTGTTTAAAAATACGATGATTATTTCTTCCAATGTCGATTTTCGTTAGCTAACTGACACTGTGCACTGTGCAGGCAAATATTTTTGATTTAATCTTTAATCTTATCAATTTTTTTATTTTCTATGATAATAATTTTGTTTCTTTTCATTAAAATAGCGAAAAAAAATAATAACAGTTATTAAATAAGTATAAAATTAATAATATCAACATCCATTCACAGTATTACAGCTCTTTACAACATCTCAATCATCTGCCTAAAAAGTTAATTATGATTGTTTGAGAATCTTTTCCTGTTTTAAAAGAATTCTAAATAATATTAATGAAAATGACACGTACCTTATGAAATGTTAAAAGTGTTTTTCCGCCCTCGGGTGGTTTTGGGAGGCTGTTACTTACTCGGGCGAAAAAGCAGTTTTCCGGAACTCGTTCGAAAAGTCTCCTTTACGAACCTCGTTACGTCCCTCGCCTTCGGCTCGGTTCGCAAATAGAGACTTTTCAAACTCGTAGGAAAACTACTATTTCCGCCCTTGGGTGGTTTTGGGAGGCTGGTACTTCCTCGGGCAAAAAAGCAGTTTTCCGGAACTCGTTCGAAAAGTCTCCTTTACGAACCTCGTTACGTCCCTCGCCTTCGGCCCGGGCCGCAAACCTCGCGGTTCGCAAACAGAGACTTTTCAAACTCATAGGAAAACTACCATTATTTAAGCACTCATCCTTAATAAACTATCCAAGTCAAAAAGATTACTTAGTCATACAAATACGATGAAAATAATGTTTTTATACAATTAACAGCAGTTGTTACACGCAAATGATATTCAAATTCAACAAATAAACATCGTTGTTTATTGATAATGTAAAAATTTTGTTGGCAAAAACATTATTGTTGTTTTTGTTTTTTGTAAAAGCCCGCCGGGGAAACAGGTTCACTAGGTGTACTCCACTACTCCAATATACAATAAATACATTCCACTAACTACATGCAGTGAACGAACCTATACTGCCTGAACTTTAAATATTTTGTAATGAGTGCATCTTTCAATGCATTTTAATGCATGAGAATTAGTAGTTTAATAAGTTAAATTTTAAACTTTTTTTTGTAACTACTGTGAAAAAAATTTTACCAAAAAATATTTTATAAACATACTAATTAATTTTTCTGCAACACACAGACAGCATTATGAGGATTTGTTACATTATGAACAAAACTAAGTACATTTATATTACCATTAAATCGCTGCAGGATTCAGAAAATCGCAGTATTTGGAAGTCTTTTCGATGAGAGGAGATTAAGAATTACTTGAATAAAAGGAAATCAAGAGGTTTAAATCTCAAGATGAAAGTTTTTTTTGCTGTTTTAGACTATAAATTCCGAACAATAGGCGGGCAATTTTTGTCTGGCGATAAGTTTTCGTTCTTCGAACTCATGGAGGAATTTCTTAGAGTATTAAGTGACTGTTCATTACACACACATTTAACAAATCATATCCAGCAGTTAAGAAGATAACCGAAGATTATGCTTACACATACGGTAAAAAGGATATGAATTGAAGCTGTCCTTTGACCTGCTGCCTAAAAAATGCAAAGTTTCACTAGACAGCCGTGAACATATATCTAATACAACAAAAACCAAGGAAACCACAATGACGTGTTCAAGGATGCTACTAGAGATATATAACGAAAGTGATCTCAGTGATGAAGATTTCATGTAAGTTAACCGACAGTAAAACTGCGCAAACAGACATAGAGAGTGCTCGATAGCAGCAAAAACTAGAGTAGCAAGGAAAAAATAACATTTGGTCTATCTTGCATGCGTGAAGTTTACATGATGAATAAAAAAAATAATCAAGTTTTTTATATAAAATAAAAAATCAAACTACAATTTAGGAATATTTCAAGTTTTGATAACTATCCACATAAAATTACAGTGTTATAATTACAGTCGTAAGTTGGATGTATCAGTTCACTGCACAGGGCATTAATATAGTTTCTGAACATTATGTGGTGTTACTTACTCCACCAACTTTTCAACATTACAAGTACTTTAAAAAAAAATGTTTAAAATACATTTTTTAGAAATTATATATCGACATCATAATTAGAATCCATAAAAAAATCATTTGATGCACATTTTTACAACAGCTATCCCTAATAAAAAATTAGACGTATTTAATAGTTTTATGGAATTTTAATTGATAAAATACCTATTCAATCCTAATACTTTGGAGCACTCTTATTTCAAATTTAAGTAAGTCATAAAAAAAATATGGTTTTTTAAGGAAAAATACCTTAAAATTAATGTTTCGTAAGTCCAGGCGCGAAATATCTGCACCTGCCAAATTTACGCCTTGAAATCGCAATTCAGCACTCGTAGGTGTCTGCATTATGGATTTTAAAATGTCAGTTCTTGTTAACGGAGATGTGTGTTTTTTATCATGTTCTTTTCTAGCTGTTTGTTCCAAAATTTCAATTGCTCCTTCAATCCCATAAAACCTGGCTTCTTGTAGTACACCTAATAATACCAATTTTTTTTATTTATTAAAGAATGATTAAACTCATGTATGAATAGTGATATTTATCATGCTATTTGATGTATTGAGTAGGAATTGAAAAAAATCGGTTTTACCTTTACTCTTGTAGAGCAAAGGTTGTAAATAATAGGAGATGTTTTCTATGTATATTGGCAAGAAAGTGCGTCTTAATTGTGAAGTATTCACATACCTTCTGGATTCTGAGATGGATCGATTATAAGTTGTCCATGTCGTAAATAATTTAGTATTGGTTCAAAATATGCGGGACTTCTATCAATCAAATAAGCTCCAGTTTTGTCCTTTTTACTTGGTTCTATTCTAAATTCATTTTGATCGTTTCCAGCAAACATTCTGTGAATTAATAGAATATCAATGAAGAGACAATATTTTATACGAATGTAGATAGATATGCGGCTCAGAAAGTTAGTTTTTGTGAAGGTTAATGTTGAAGTGCAGATACAAATTTTCGTTAAAAGATTTCATAATTAATGTAACACTCTTATCTGAGGTGTTACTTTTATTATCTTATACTTAAATATTACCTAGCCAGCATGCTCGTAGGCTCCTTATTAATCAATGTGCTTCTCGTAGTAGAAAAACACTGTCCCCCAACATTCAAAGTTATCCAATCTGAGTTTTCATTGCGTTTAGGTAGATCTACACTACTCCAAGCAAAATCTTCACCACAAGATACATACAGCAGGTCATCATCTCTGTAAAATATATAATTATTTTAGTTCAATAACTTCTATAAATACTTGATGTGATTGCGTATTCAAGACTACATTAATTCATTTGCATTACAAATAAAATCTTTTGATATATGTGTTGCAAACTTTCGAAAACCTAAATTACTTTTTTACAGTATAACTAAGTACTACGTTTTGAGATCCTAAGAGGTTCTATGGATTCGTTTCAATTTAGAAAAAGCAGTAAAATTTCAAATTATCACGAATAAAAGTGTCAAAAAATTGTATGAATATTGTAATATTTTAAATCACGTGACTTTATATTGTTAGAGATAAAAAAAAAGAGTAATAAAGTTTAACGTCTCAATATAGACTCTTACGAAAAGAACTAAACTTAGGCTCGTGTTATTATACAAAAAACGCAGCGACAAAGAAAATTTTTTTCTTTTGTTTTACTAAACAAACTATGTAAGCTGTCATAATCAATTATACAATAAACCAAAGTGGCAATCTCTATACTCTAATGCTTTAATGTTTAAGCGATAAATTGTATGAAAATGCTTAGATAACAAGATGTGTTCAGTCGACAAGTCCCTAGACAACAATGTTAGAATTAGTTTAAGTCTAACTTAACATATTTTTAGAATTTTTTTGTGGATGTCGTATTGTCTAAATATATTATTTCATCTTGCTTTGTTAAATATCTAAAGTAGTTTTGTAATTTAACACATCACTTAAAATCATTAGTAAAAAATGTATTTACTGAAGACTTATTAATAGCTGTTGGTTAATACAACTGATTTAAATTAACTTACATCCTAGCTGCTAAATTTTGTTACAAAATTTTAACACACACCTTATAAGATTACAATCATCGATTTCACCTCCTTGTGGAGTAAAGAGTCGTTTGGCTTGAATTTTGAATTTCATGCTAGCTTCTTTCAACAATTCCTCCAAAGAATACGTTACCATGAAAGCCTAGAACAATAATAATTAACAAAAACCAATGATTGAAAAATTCAGTTCGATTTTGCAAGTAACACTAGTATATCAATAATACATACATAAATTTGAAAACTTTAACGCATTATAAAATATTACAGCAGTCTAAAAAATTAATGTAAAAATTCACACAAGGAGCGATTAAAACAGGTGTTAAAGTAGACTACAGTACAGCGGTTATTGTTTTTCATAATGTCGAAGGCAACAAACAACTACTTACTATTTACGAAAAACCAGGCTAAGATACTATATGTTGGAATTCGCCATTTAGGTAAGTATCTTTAAATATATCATTCTTGTTTTTATTCATGATAACTATTAAAATAACTTAAATTATTAGGGAGCTAAATTTTGTTAAGTATCCATCTTATGCTGCACACACGTAAAAATAAAAACTCATATTATAACAACTATTATCATCTTTTTGAAAAATTATTACAAAAATAGTACTTGTTGAAGTTACATTAACGTTAACCAAGAGTTTTTTAACAATTTACATACTCAGTATTTGTTTCGTGCAGCAATTTGAAACAACACCACCTGCAGGGGAATGGTTGTCGATGCTAACTAACAAGAATACACAGAATCTTATGGGCAATGATCTGTTACAAGCGTTTATTTTAAAAGTAATGTATATTTAACAACTGATGTAATTTTTTCGGGTGTTGAGTATACTTTAAAGCTGAAAAATACCTGTTCTTTAATAAAAAAAAAAAATTTTTTTTCTCTTTTGATGGTTGTATTTTTTTCAAATAACAATTTATTTCGTGAAGTACTATTAAATCAGCCCATTAAGAAGTAATATTTACTATGCTCACTCATAAATTATATCCATTTCATACTAGAAATTTACTTTTTTTCATGAAATTAAAAACAAGTATTATTTGTTATTAATGTGCTATTTAAGACTGAAAAAACCTATATTAGTTGTTAAATATTTATTATTGTTAAAATAAACATTTGTTACCTATCATTGTCTATCTAATGCCATGTATTTTTGTTAGTTAGCATCGACATCTTTTCCCCTGCAGGTGGCGTTGTTTCAAATTGCTGCACGAAGCCGACGAAGCGAATAGCTAACACAGCTTGTGTTTTGCTTACTGTTCGGTATTTATTTCTCCTTTCAATTTCTCCAAGCCATTCAAGGTAAATGTAAGGACAAGGTATAGAGGTATCATAAACCACTACCGGAGCTACCGCAAGTACACTTGCAGTATTTTAATTTACAAAACCACGAAATTCGAATACTGACAACTATAAGATTAAAACGCAAGTAAGAGGTATAACGTTAAACTAATAAAATACGACAGTAATAACTAACACAAATAATTACTGAACACAGTTATTGCCATCTTTTTGTGTTCGTACTTCTTATTTATTACAAAATATTCAGAACGTTCAAATTTTGCGCTTCTGGGGTCGCTCAGAGCGCTCCGAACACCTTGTATATTGGAACAAATCTATACGGTATGCCGGTAATGGCGGGAGATAAGTGCTTAAGGGGGGACACTTAATTTTAATGGTACTTTACCAAAAACATTTTTTTTTTATATCTGTATATAGGCGTATTGTATATGAAAAGACGCCTTTCTATTAATATTTTAATGGAGCTATGTGACTGTTTCGCGGTTTGAAATACATCATATAAATATAACGCCCGCATTTACTCAACTTTAAATTGGCTTGCGAACAAATCCCACGATAAGTAATTGATGGAATATGGAAACCGTTAAGTCTTATGATTACTAACTTAATAGGTTCGTTCAAACCCTCTTTTGGTTCGGTCTGGTCGATTCTGGAACCAAAAAAAACGTGCGTTCACGAGTTTGGTTCCAGAACCAAAAGTTTGAGTCGGTCGGATCTAGAACCAAACTCTCGTGAACGCATGTTTTTTAGTCCCAGAACCGATCAGATCGAACCGAACCAAAGGGGGGTTTGAACGAACCTAATAGTACAGGTAGTTATAATCAAGTTTATGCTAACTACTTATTGAATACCAAGATAAAGTTGTTTTATCAATGGTTATGGATTCTGCTCGTTATATTTTATGTTTAATACGTTGTAGTGCATAACTTTTTTATCTACTACATCAGGATTTGAACAAACCAGCTTTTAGATTTGTTCGAGGTTTAGCTTGGAGCAGCTCGGAGCGCTCCAAGCTTAATCCCGAACAAATCTTTTGTCTGGTCGACAGTCAGATACTACCTTTGAGACTAACTCAGTTGGTCCAGATCCTTACATTTAAGTAGCTGAAAAAGTTACACTCTATATTTCTATATAATCTACATATACCACTCCCCAGGAAAGAGAAGTTCTTGATTTTTTTTACTTTACTCCGCGTGAAAAACCACATCACTATAAAATCAACTTGAATTATCTGTCAACTCAAAAATCACTATTTTTATGCAAGACCCTTGTTTCGACATTTACGAGACAAAAGATATACAGTCGATAGCCAAAATGGGACGTAAAATTAATGTGAAGCACTCGCATGATATATCGTTGTAAAAACTAACCTTGCCGTTGACCGTCGTGCCGTTCACGAAGAGAATAACTCTCTTCATTTTGCACCGTGGTAATCCAAAAAATCAGCATTTGAGTACCTCCTTGACGACGGCAATGCGGCACGAAAAGGTGTAAGGCCAAAGAGAAAACACGTGGCGCGATAAATATCCTCAAGTCTTCACCGGTTGATTCACGTGTTGGTCTGGTTGTAGACGAAAAAAGCCAAATGTAGAACGTCAGTTCCACAAATTCGACTAATTTCATAGGAAAACTTTGGATGGCATAACGTAACTAACGGCCGAGGCCGTTGAGTTGCTGCCATTTGCACTCTATAAGCGTCGCAACCAAAAAGAACGCAATCGACTTTTGCAAGAAACGAACCTCCACATCTCATCCGCGTGTATCGTAAAGTATAGCCGTGTGAACCGCGCGTTTATTACGGCTGGCGCGGCGAACTGCGCCACCCTTGGATGGGTCTGGAATGGAACAACGGACCAACGGTCCCAACGGACAAAAAATGTACAGGAATATGAAAATTATTTTTTTATTTTTTCATGACATTTATTTATTATTTAAAAGGCTTATGTCAAATAATTATGTCATACTGAAAGGAATACTTATTTAAATATCTGTTATCATTTGTTTAAAAATACGATGATTATTTTTATATAACCGGTAAGATCAATGCGTAAGCCATGAATAATGTTTGTCAATAATTCGAATGTAATATGCATTAATGCATGCTGAGCGTAATACATGACAACATTTCATTTAAACGTTATCATTGTAACTACTGTGAAAAAGCTTTTACTAATAAAATAATTTAGTTAGATACAACTGGTACCATGGATTTATTTGTTTATTTTCAAACATGAGAAGAAAATAATAATTTTTAATTTTTTTATGATACTATTAGGGCATCTATAGGTGAATTTTAATAAGTTAAATTTTAAACTTCTTATAGTAGCTACTGTGAAATAATAATTACCAAAAAAAAAAAAATCAAAATCACAAAAA